TGGTTCAGAGGGGGCTTGATCGGACCCCGGGGAGGCGGCTGTGGGTCAGAGGGTGGGGGTGGGTGGGAGCTGTGGGTCAGAGGGGGGATAGATTGGAGCCCGGGAAGGGGGCGGGGCTGTGGTCAGAGGGGGCGGGGCTTGGCGGGGTCCCGGGCCGGGCGATAAAAGGGGCCGCGCGCCCAGCCCGCCCGGGCCGCCAGCATGAGCCGCCTGGCGCCGGGCCGGGCTCTCACCGAGCAGCGCTTCCAGCAGCTCTACGGGGGCGCCCGAGCCCCGGGGCCGCCCGGCGGGGACGCTGCGCCGGCGGGCGGCCCGGGGCTGCCGCTGCTCCGGGGCGGCCGCCCTGCGGCTCCTGCGGCGCCGGCTGCCCATCGCCGCCTGGCTGCCCGGCTACCGGCCGGGGTCCTGGCTGCTGGGGGACGCGCTGGCCGGGCTCACCGTGGGGATCGTGCACATCCCACAGGGTGAGCAGCTCCCCCAGTCCCGGCTCCCCCGTTCCCCCTGCCCCCCAGCCCCGGGGGGACCGGATCTACGCTCTACCCCCGCCCCAGCTGTCCCGCGTCCCGCATCTCCCCGCGGGCTCGGGCGCCCCAAGGCGGGTAGCTGCCGGGGGTCCGGCGGCCGGTGGAGAGACGGATCCCAGCTCTGGGAGCGGTCCTGGCCGCGGAGCCCCGAGGCTGTAGGGCCGCCCTGCGCAGCTCTGCCGGGAGCCACTTGAACGGTGACGGGAGAGACAGCGAGCGGAGCCGGGACTCCTGGGTTCACTCCTGGGGCAGTGGTTAGACTTGGGACAGAAGGACTGGGAGCCAGGACTCCTGGGTTCTCTCCCCAGCTCTGGAAGGGCAGTGGGGTGTGGTGCGTGAGTTCAGTGGGGGCTGGGAGCCAGGAGTCCTGAGTTCCATTCCCAGTTCTGCCTCTGACTTGCTGTCCTTCCACCCCTCTGGGCCTCAGTTTCCCCCTGGGTGTGGTGGTAACAAAGCCACGGAGAAGGGCAAGGTATAGACAGGCTGGACCCTGTGGTGCTGACTGGATCTGGCCTCAGTGCCCCTCTGAAACAGGAGCCCTCTGTTTGAGGGGGCTTCTCTGACACCCGCCCCCCCCCATCTCAGTCTGTAAATCTCGCCCTCTTGCCGGGGTCTCTGGGCTGGGGTGTAGGAGCGTCCCTGGGCGATCCGCGAGACGATGCCGTTCAGCCCTTAGGAGAGCAGGGGGGCTAGTTATGATCTCGGCTGCCCCCAGCTCACCCCTGTGCCCGTCTCGGGTCCCCACAGGCATGGCCTTCGCCCTCCTGGCCTCCGTGGCCCCCGTCTACGGGCTCTACACCTCCTTCTTCCCTGTCATCCTTTACATGCTCTTTGGCACCGGGCGCCACGTCTCTACTGGTGAGTGAGCCACCCATGCCTAGGGCTCGGCGGGGTTAAATGGGGGGTCTGGTTCCTCGGGCATCGCTGTGCCAGCAGCCTGTTCCCATGACAGTGGGGGAGCGGGGTGGAGATCCCCATAACCAACCAAGGGGCTGAACAGGGCCCCACCCCGCTGGTGCCCTCCCAAAGCTAGGAACATGTGGCTGCCCAGCTGTGCCCTCCCCAGAGTGTGGGGCATGGGGGGTGTCTGTGGGGTGGTACGCAGGGGGGGCAGAAATCCATGGGAGATGGGGCTAGAGACAGTGGGGGGGGGATGTGTGCATGGGGCGGGCACTGGAGGGGCAGAGGTGGGGGCGGGCAGGTGGCGCTGTCTGGGCAGGAGGGCAGGCCTCCCAGGGGGTGGCTGGGCAGTTCTCAGGGGCTGTCTCCCCCTTCCCCTGCCCAGGCACCTTTGCCGTGGTGAGCCTGATGACGGGCTCCGTGGTGGAGCAGCTGGTGCCCTGGCCCCTGGAGCCCAACGCGACCAGCGCGGTGCTGGCCCGGGTGGAGGAGCGGCGCATTGGCGTGGCAGCCGCCATGGCCTTCCTCGTGGGGCTCCTCATGGTGAGTCCGCGCCCGCCGGGCTGCCGGAGCCTGGGGCAGGGACCTTCCCTGGAGATAGTGGGAGCGGGGGAAGGGGGGCAGGGCATGGATGAGCGGAGGGGAGTAGGGCAGGGATCCAGTTCGGGGGGGGGGAAGGAGGGACTCCGAGGGGGGCAGGGATCCAGTCAGTGGGGGAGGAACCCGTGGGGGGGAGGTGAGGTGGGGCGAGGGGATGCATCGT